ATATGTCAAGTAATAATATTTTTTTATGATTTTATGGGAGATTTGGAAATCTAGGTATCGATCTAGATATAATGATATCCCCATATCGAGGTATATGATTATTGGAAATATATACACTTACTTATAAGATGTATATAAGGCTTATTGTCCTAAAAAAACCATCTTCTTCCCTTGAGATTGCACGACTCCTAAAGCTTGGTCTTCATTGATCATGGTGAAAGTCCATCATAGAGTTTGGGTCAAATGGACTCCTCGAAACCTAGGGGTATATAAACTCAACGGGGATCACTACACCAAAAATAAGTTATAAGGGCGAAGTCTCCGAGGCGGTCAAAAAAACCACCTAAGACTTTAATTATCTTGATATCACATACACTTTTTATAAAAAAGATATGAGGCGGTTGCTAAAACCGCCCCTAAAAAAACACCATTATCTCATTTTCCTTCTTGTTTTATATTTAAGCCTTCTCTTTTTCTTTCTATTTAATTGAATTATTTTAAGAGAGTAGATCGAGTAGTTGAAATCGATCTACAGAAAAATTAAAATTAGGGTTTCTTCGTTTAGCAACTTTAGATGAATTGCACCTCTTCTCCTCTTTCACTAGAGCCACCAAATCAATGTATCTCCGAGCTTCGACAAGGCAAAAGGTGCGACCACCGTGGTACTTCTTCGATTCTCTCTCCTTTTCTACCTTTTTTTTTCTTTGATTGAGCAACTTTATATAAACTATAACTCTCCTTCTCTTCTCGCTAGAGCCACCAAATCAACATATCTTCGACTTTGACAAGGCAAAAGGTGCAGCCACCATGGTACTTCTCTAGTTCTCTCTTCCTTTCTTTCTTTGTTGCTTGCATTGAATCTCCACATCTCTAAATCACACTCGTCTCTTATTCTTTGCTTTTTTAGGTGAAGTACTCTAAAAAGCCTCGCTAATTCCACCAAGTGTAAGTGTGCCAATATTTTTCAATTTGGGTTTTTTGTGCTTGCTAATGACTCGGTGGACATCTTATTCCATACAGACTTGTAACCTAAAGGGATCCGACCTCGCAGTTCATTTAAGGTATTTTGTTTAAGATTTTAATGGGTTTCATTTTTTTTTATGTCGTTACTTGTTATTGATTTGTTTTTGGGTTTGATTTATTAGTAAAACTCGATGGGAAAAAAATACAGATTTGTTGCTTATTGGGGTCTAGTGGTGTTATTGCTTTTGTAGATTGGCTGGATGGATACCTTATTTTGTTAAAATAGTAGAGATAAGAAAAATGCGGTAGGAAGAGACTCCTCTGTTTTTTTTATCTTAGTAGTTTCATTTTTACAATGCTAATTGAGTTTCCACTTCAAATAACCAAAATAATTAATTGCATTTCTCTCATCTTACCTCAACTAGCATTCATTTCACCAATTCACTAATATTTTCAATATAATCTTGTCTTTCTATTGCGAAGCTACAACCATACTTTAAATGATATAGACCGATCCATTGCAGTATAAAGGCATTCTCTTTGAATTCATCAAACAAAAGCGTGCAAAGTTAGAATGACAAGAAGATGTTGATATTATAATAGACTCGCACATAAAGTATACATTTATATATGTGCTAGCACAAGAAAAATTCTAATTATGCAAGGTGCGGGATATAGAGAGAGCTGAAACTAAGGTACACCTTATAATTCATGTACAAATAGGATATTCATCACCTACTCAATCTAGAATCATAAATGACTTAACTCTTTCGTAGCGAGAGGTAAGCAATTTATAAGGTTCGATGACATCTTTTAATTTGTTCAATAATAAGTATGTCATACCCCAAATTTACCCTTTGTTCTTTTATTTTAGTTTTCTTTAGTTTTCTTTTTGTTGTTTAAATTCATACTTGTTTTACATAAAATCAAATTAAAAAATAAAAAATATATTTTCTTTCATTTAATTAGAATTCGAGTACAAAAATACAAAAAAATATAAAAAGAAATAAAAAAAGGGAAATATATATATAAGGAAATGAAAGCATAGATGGAGGGACAGCTTCCCTCCATTTCCTTTACAATTTTCCAACATTTCCTAGCTACCCCGAACAATTCCCAAATCGGTTTTCTACCCAAGCTAGAAGCCTCTCTTATGCAATTCCCGCATAATCTTCCTCCACTTGCAGCCTCGACCTACACCATCCTATCGTTGCCAATTTCAATAATCTCTCCCCCAAGTCAACAATCACAACTCCAAGCAACCCCTAATCTCCACCGTCAACCTTCTTTACAGCTCTACAACCTTACCCTCTCGCCTGACCAACTCGTCGCCCTAACTTGCTCTTTCACAGCCTTCTCACCTCCAATCAACAATATCAAGCCGCCCACCCTATTGTCGTAAATTTCAACGACTTCCTCATCACCCAAGTTAACCTCTAGCACCCCTTCATCGCTACAAATTTCTACAAGCACCACCCTACAACCTCCCCTACTTCCAACAGCTTCACCACCGCCATAGCTCACAACCCTATCCAATTCAACCCTCCACTTGACACCCATAACTCGTTGAAAATCCCCCACCATCATAATGGGGAAACCAACACAAGCATTTATATATATGTACAATTCACAAACAAAAACAAAAAAATCAATAGCAAAAGAGAGAGAAAAAAAAAGAAAGAGGGAGATTAAACTTACCCGAATTGAAGCTACAACTCCATCATCTTCACCAATTCATCCGAGTAATCTCTTTTAGCTCCTCTTTAATTATGTTTTTTTTTTTTTTACATGAGTTAAGTTTTTAAAAAAAAAATTTGGGGTTTTTGAATTTGGGTTGAAGTTAAGTTTAGGAAGTACAAATTAAACCCAATTTGAAGCCAATTTCAGCTTCAATTTAGCGTTCAAACCCCAAATTGAAGCTGAATTGATCTTAATTAAAACTTAGGGTTTTTGAGATTTTTTCAAAAAAATTGGATTGGGGTTTTTCAAAATTAAGTCTTAAAATTTTGAATCGACTTAATCTCAAAGGAAATCAAGTCGCTTAGGTCTAATTGAAAGAAATTTTTGAAAAAATTGCAAGGTTAGGGTTCAACCAAATTGGGATTTTTTTTTGGAAAATTCGATTTGGTTTTTTTTTTCGATTTAGAGGGAAATCAAGAGGTTTAGGAAGGGAGAAAGGAAGGGAGAAAGGAAGTAAAGAAGAAAAAGAAAAGGAATTAGGTGGCCATGGATAGGCCACCACCGGTTCGTCCATGGCATTTTCGATAGGAGAGAGAAAGAAGAAGAAGGAAAGGGAAAAGGAAAGAGAATAGTAGAAAGAGGGAAGGAAGAAGAAAGAGAGGGAAATGAGATGAAGGGACAAACCAAAACTGGTTCGACCATTGAGGTAGCCATGAGAGGGAGGAAGAAGAAAGAAAAACAAGCAGGAAAGAAGGAAAAGAAAACGAGAAAGAGAGAAAGAGAAAGAAAAAATAAAAATTGGGTTTTTGATCTAAAATTTTTGAAAATATTGTTTGGGTTATTTTTTTAGGTTAAGGTTTTGTTTTTAGAAGTATGGGTTAGGCTTAGCCCATCCCACATGTGGCAAGGCCGGATCGGCTCAACCGACCTAAAATTTTCCTTTTGGGCTAGATTAGACAGATCCAGCCCGAACTCGCAAAAAAAAAAAAAAATAAAAAAAAAAATAAAGCAAAAACAAAATATGTGTTTCTTAGTTTTAAAATTCAAATTTAAGTATGTTTTTTATTTTATTTTATTTTGTCAACTTATCTTTAATCATTTTTAATGTAAATTTAATCTTGAGTTTACTTTATGCATGTTTGTTATTTTATGTTAACTTAGAATTTAATATTTTAATTATTTTAATTATTTTAATTCATGTAATTTGAATTTTGAATTTATTTTATGCATATTATTAATTTAAATTTCATTATTTCAATTTTCTTTCATCTATTTAATTAGTATAACTTTTAATTTATTTGTTTAGTAATTAGGCTAGGTCATTAATAGGTGGAGGATTGTCAAGTCTTCTAATTCTTTAGGGACTAATGACGATCTTTCATCAAATAAAAAGGAAAGAAAGAAAAATAAAAAATAAAAAATAAAAAATAAAAAAAATCATAAAACTTTTAACCAAGTCTCCTACTTGATAGGGACCGTTATTAGTAAAAAAAATCATTTTAATAAACAAGTGTTCTTCGACACGTTGGTTGTGTCGAGACCCAAAAAGTGGATCCGATGTTTGAACTAACGTGTCTCCCGATGAAAGGGGTCCGACAATTGTTTCAATACAATGCCACGCTCAAAAATAAAAAACTTGATTTGACTTGAAAAATTAAAGACTCAAAAATCAAAAAATAATTTGGCAAAAATAAAATACTTTAAGAGATAAATTTAGGACTAAATTAGACGTGGTACCTTTCTTAGGAAAGGACACTTTTAGGTGATTAAATATCTTCCCAAAAGCGTAACCAACTCCTTACCTTAGAATCTCTAAACCAAGTGCCCATTTTAGGTTATTAGTTCCTTCAATACTAAGTGGCAACTTCAAACTCGTAAATAATTTTGTAAATAAAAATACATCTTAAACTAGAGAGATAAGAGATTTTTTTTTTTTTTTGGAGTCCCGTTCGACGTCGCCTAGTGACAAAGTACATCATTTTCTCCTTTTGCATAAAATGCCTTGTATTGTTTCTTTTCTTTTTGCAATTAAGAGCATGGATCTCTAATATGCATTCTTGTTCTAACACACAAATTGATATCAATCTATCTATGAAATGAAAATAATCTTGAGTATCGTAGCTAGTCGTATTGCTGAGATTATTTTCTTTTTGGTGAATTATATTAAGCTAGTTAGTAGCATCCAACACAAGTCATGAGAAGTATGCATGTCGTCCTTGGAGGAGGAAAGGGTAATCTTCCCCCTTCAGTATTTTGTTTTTTTTTTTTTTTTGTGTTCAAGGGAGCAAGTATAAACGTATACAAATGTGAAGTAAGATTAATTTCTCTAAGATGTATAGTTTGGTTCTCTTTTGTAGTCGCTAAGATATTGTTATGGAAGGAAAAGATATTATCGGGAGGAATTCTAGCTAGGGGTGTTACTACAATCCGGCTTCTATTTGGACTTACGAGGTACCCTTTTGTTACTTTTTTATGTCACATTCTCATCCTTTCGATGATCATCCCCTTCATATGGTCTAAGAGTGCGGGACTCATCAAAAGGTAACAACTCATTAGCATATTCTAAAATCTATTATTGTTTGTTTAAGATCCTTACATTTTTTAGATTATTCTATTTTCCCAATAAGTGGAATCTTTGCTACAAATATAAGGAACAATATTGGGTTATCCCTTTTTTTTTCCCTCCCTCCCTTTATATTTCGTTCCTAGCAAGGTTGTACTTTAATTTAAAATTTTTATATGTATTGATTTGTTCATCGATTCAGGAATCCTCCTACTTTTAACCACATACGGTTGCCAAAACTAGTATTTATGTTCTTCTCCGAATAAATCAACCGGACATTACTTGCATTTTACAATACTTTTGTGGGCCGTAGAGGCTTAAAAACCTTTTATGTGGTATACAAGTCTCTTATCTCCCGACCATTTTCATTTTCTACAATTATCTATTTTAGTTATAGATTTAATTCCTAATTGTGGTATACAAGCCTCTTTTCTCCTAACCAAGTCTCTTATAGATTTAATATCCATTTTTATTTTTATTCATAGCTAAATTAAATATATATATATATATATATCTACTAAAATGAATTGGCTTTATTTGGAAGCTTTGGACTTTGTCATGTTCCTATTAGGACTTGATCAAACTCACCCCATTTTTTCAGAGTTACTAATCCTACTTCTAACTTTTAAGTTTTGTCTGTAGAATTAGACAATTCACAATAAGTTTGAACTATATAAACCCTACAATAAGTTGTCCGCAAGGCCCGGAGCTCCCCACATTTTCAACATTGCAAGTCTTTCTTCTAACTTTATCTATCAAATAAGTTTAAACTACATAGACCCAAAGTAAAAGCTCGAAAGAAAGGACACATTTATGATTCATATGTAAATTATTGCATCAAATCATTTGTTTCATTGCTTAAGGTTCCACCCATATTACTCGCCTAGGAAACAATTGTGACTTATCACTAGAGTGCGCATTTGAGTGGTAATTTCCAAGCTCGTAGTTTTCCCGGTGAAGTATTTTCTTGACTTTTTTTTTAACTTGAATTAAGCAGGTGGTTGACATAACAAAAGGAAATAAGGTCAAATATGAACTAGATAAGAAGATAGGACTAATCAAGGTGTGAATAATTCTGAATTCATTGAAATTGAAAAAAATTAGTCCTAGATTATGGACTCTATAGGAAGTGCTTTACATGGAATTTGCTTTTTAAAAAAAATAAAAAACTTCATTCTACCTGCCATAGCCTTTTGTTTTTTTTTTTTTTCTGTTCAAATGAATGCTTAGGTTGATTGGATTTTTTTTTTTTTTTTAACTTTCAAATTGTGCTTTTGATAGGTTCATAATGATGGTGATGGTCAAAATGCTCCTTCTCCTAATCGTTCATCACAATCAAGTCATCTCGTCGAAATCAAATATTTTTATAAAAGCATGAGAGTTGTTTTTTTTTTTTTTGTAAACATTAGCCACTTATTTTAAAATATATTTAGAATTTTGTTTATGTATTTTGAATAAGTGTTTAATCCTTTAGTTTGATGAATTTTTATGCATTTAGAATTTGATAATGACAAATTTAAGAATATTCGTAAGCTATATAATTTTCTTTTATTTGCATTCAATAAGATTAACTTTTTTTAATTTATTTTTTCTACCAAAAAAAATAATTGAATTTGAAGATGAAATAAAGCTATACTATTAAAGGCGATTAAAGAATCGTCTTTATGAATTCTAAAATCTGCCTCTATGATTTTTGAAAAATGATGCGGTTACATAATCGCCTTTATGAATTCAAGAGCTTGGGGCGGTTAAAAAATTTTAAACCTTACAGCGATTGTAACCGTCTCAAATATTTTGTGCGAAATTTAAAAAGAAAAATACAGGAATGTAGAGGCTATTTAGAATCGCCTAAAAAATTATGTGCCAACAAATATAAAAGATCAAATTTGCATTGAAGAGGTGGTTGAAATCACCTTAAAAAAAAAATAATTTGAGGTGCCTCAACCAACCGCCTCCGAATTCCTTGGCGGTTGGCAAAACCACCTCTACATCGTAGAGACAGCGGCATTGTAGGCGAGGTTTAAGGAGGTACAAAAAACCACCTCTACAATTTGTAGAGGCGGTTATAACCGCCTTTAGAAGGTAAAAAACCGCCCGCAATACCTTTTTTGGTGTAGTGGATGGGTCGACTCGGAATAATATATGTACATGTGGGGGATAATTTTATCGGATAATGGATCCACGGTGGTCGCCTTCTCCCATAATTATGGTTTCGAGTAATTGTTAGGAGAAATATATGTTCTTCATGATGGACTTCTATTATGTCATCAACTAGGCCTACATTCGGTTTAGGTGGAGTCAAATTCTCAAGTAGCAATCAACATAATGCTACATAATGATAATTGATCATGGAAATATTAGTAGTATATTCAGCGAATGTCTCTTAATGATGGATATTTTTAAACCATCATATGTCTTATATGAATAAAAACGCATTAGCAAATAGTTTATCTAAACATGTTTATTCAATAACGAAGTTGAAAACCTTACTTCGCTATCATGATCTTCCTATTGATATTAAGCATATATTTTAACCTTATAGAATGGGTTTGTATAATTATAGAGTGCAATGCTCATCTTTTTGTATAATTTTAAAGTATAATGCTCATTTTTGTTTGTATAATTTAGGCTTAATGACGGACTACATAGGATCCATAGCGTAAACTAAGGAACCAAGGTCTCATCAACGGTCCAAGCACGTACTACGATACTACTATCTCATTAGAGAGATTATCAATCATGGAGATGTAAGGATAGAAAAGGTCCACACCGACCACAATATAGCTAACCCATTGACTAAGCCTTTGTCTTAGCTAAAACATGAGGCCCTTACTCGATCGCAGGAATAAAAGACATGGCCGGTTGACTCTAGTGTAAGTGAGAGATTATTAATATAGGTATCCAAAATCCAACCATAATTGGATAAGTTTGAGTTATTGTATCATTATATTATTTATCTTATTAATAATAAAAGAAGTCTTTCAATTAATTCTTATTGTTTACATTTTTTTATTGAATAAAATTAGATAAAATTCTATATTGTATGCATTTATATTAATAATTGATCAAAAGATGTGAGACAAATATTAATGCACATAAATAATATCATTAATTATCCCAAGCCGTAGCATTCTTAAGAATGGACATTGACTATATGCGATTAGACTTGTGAGTGCTATGCTCATACTATAAGATAGCAGTAGGAGATCTCACACTTATTAGCATGATAATGCCAAAGTAAGCACCTAAGTGATTAATGTTAGAGAACATATCACTAGACTTGATTCACCATGAGAACTCATTTGGTTTAGTATATGGGAATCTCATACGAGATTGGTACAATCTGGTTTTTTGACTTAAAGTCATCATGGTTATCTCATTAGAGTATTTATGTACTTTGACACTTATTTTGATAGACTAAGTAAAGGGTTGCATGTGGATAATTCATTGGGTATAGTAGAAATCTAATGCCGATAGGTGGATGACTAAGATAGGATATGTCATTCCTTGTATGTTAAAGGAGTTATGACATTACACTTCGATAAATGTCTACTCAAGAAATATATGGTCATAGTAGGAGTATACCAATAGAGCATAGTTGTTTTGCTGTAAGACTTAAAATATTCATGAATAAAAAAAAACTTATATGATCATAATCAAAAAAACCAATAACCAAGTTTGAGATAACATTGTGATAAATTGACATGAGGATTGAATTGTATGGTAACCATACTCGTGAAAGGTAATTCTTGATTAATTAATCCTCCTAAAGAATTCTATAGTCATGATACTTTGCTAGAGACCAATATTGATTTATGTATCAAGAGATAAAAGAGGTGTCTTTTATTCTTGATAAATTGCCAACATATCTAAGACTCGTTGAGTCACAAGCACAAGTTTAAGCATTCACATAATAAAAGAGAAGTAATGATTTCGGAAAAGGTTTTCAATTTTAAAATTTTCCTCTTTTGGAAAAGTTTTCAAAAATGAAAAGTTCCCTAAAATGAAAATTTTTCTATTTTAGAAATCAGTTTCCTAATTTGGAAGTAAATTACCTAAAAAGAAAATTAGTTTCCTAATTTAGGCTTAAGGGTAATTTGAAAAATTCTTTCCTAATGTGGGCTTCCTAAAATATCTAACCTAATTTATTTAGACTGTCTAAATTGATTAGTAATTAATTGGGCCCAAATCTAAATTGATTAGTAATTAATTGGGCTAAAAAATTTTAGGCCAATAGATTTAATTTAAAAGCCTGTAAGATATTTTTGTAAAAGAATAAACATGAACCTTATAGCATTAGGATAAATGTTTTAAAGGATAAGATCAAAAGCTCACATACATAATAACTTCTAATTCTTAGAGGATTAGGATGTAACAACCTAGAGACCATATGGGAGAAATTGCTACCCCTTCCTTATCCTTAGAGGACAAGGAAGCCTCTCCTCTTATAAATAATAGGAAAGGAGGGGTAAAAGGTAAGGTGAGAAATTAAAGCTACACAACAAAAGGAAAAAATAAAGAGAAAATAGTTTTCTCTCTACCCTAGCACATACCACCTTTCCTCTCTTTCGGGGTTGTCATAAAATATCTCTAAATAGATTTCTAAAGGAAAAATAAAAAACGATTAGAAAAGGTATAGCTGGCATTCTACCAATTTTAAGTGCTTTTTGTGTGGGTGTTTGGTCTACGTGGATTATCGATAGAGGTTGAACGCTTGGATGGCTCCTTTTTGTAAAGGTTTAATTATACACTATAAGAGATAATCCTTTATTTATGTTTTAATTCATGTATGTATGATTAGTTGATTCAATGGAATGATATTAAAAACTTTAGATGGAGGAAATTTTTGTTTTATTCCACATCGTCGTAGGATGCATGATCCTTCATATACTTACATTAGAATAATCACTCCTTATATTAAAATAAATATTCTTACATAGAGAATTACTTAAGGAAGGATATTTTTGGTCATGGATGT